AGTATGCTCCCAAACGATCCACGGAGGGTCTGGATTATGAGATAACTTGATTGTTTGAAGGTGGTTAAGATGCTGACAGGCAAGCGCTCGTTGCAAGTTCCGCTCACTGACTCAGCGTTGATACTCAAACACTACAAACACCTAAAATTCGGCTAAATTGTAGTCACGTGAGTGATCGAAGATTTTCCAGGCTTCCAGCACGCTAGGGATTATTGTATTACCTCAACATGCAGGCTTTCGAAAACAAGCTTTCAAAAACCGTGGTGGATAGCACTTTGAAACTAGACTATTTACTGATTAATTTTTAATTTTGGGCTAAACGTTCCACTGGCGCAAGTAAGAAATCCAACTTCCTCTGGCCTATGACTCAGCTAACTTTGAAACTTAGTGGTAGCGCGCCAGACTTCTATCTATGAAAGGATCCAATCTGGAGGCTGTGGGTTCGAGCCCCACGTGGAATGCTTTGTTTTTGCTGCCTTCCATAGAGCTTTCACCACCGTTTGTTTTTGACCTATGTATTAACTACTGTATAGGGGCAGCCGCTGTAAGCATTCGCGACACACTTTTTTTAGGGTAAGGAAATCACGATTCTGTGCTTTGAGTCACAAGATTTTTCGAAGGATTCTCCAATTAACTGCGCCTCATTACTTTTCCTGCATACATAGCCCTGCTTTTCTGCAAACCCGCTTTTTTTCACGTGTCATCTCTATAGTAGGCTACAACGTTACGATTAGAAATTTCCGGGAGTGACGATCGAGGAAATAGAGCGGAAGCTGGCGAGCCATGGCTGCTTATCGGGCTGATACTCCTTTCAGTGTTCTAAATGGATATTTCGCCTGCGTTAGCCTCGCCTGGATTCTCCGAGTCAAATTCTCCACCGCGGATATTGACGTACCATTATACAAGGCGAAATTAGTCTATCGAATTAATATAATACATAGTAGAATCCTCAAACCCCTCTTCGCTTTGTATATACTACCTCGTACTGTTTGCGCCGACTGGAATGGAATCATGTTTTATGCTGACCGCTACCTCGCCCTATAACTTACCTTATCCTTCAATGGGCGAAGATGGGTGGTTGTATTGTGGGCTGGAACATCTTTCTGGTACCCTTCATATGGACGTCTCGAGGGCGATGGAGGGGCTTGTTGATCAACACTCTGATCGGGCAGTAAGCTTAGCTACGCTTGTGCGGTGGACATAAAATTTACCTGACGTGTTTATTAAGCTTCCCTCTTTGGTTAGTATTTTATATGGGCTTACGGTCTATTAGAGAACTTGCCGTCTTATGGATTCCACAAGTGATGCAACTCCTCTGCTTCTAAAAAGGGATTTTAGCATTTATCTCTTTCTCATAATAAAGGTATTTAATGCTAATGCGGGACAAAGCTATTTATGAAAGACTTTTAATATAATGTATTTCTATATATATCCTAAGAGAAAAATGCATTGGTCGGCGACACGGTCTTAAAAGCTTTAGGCACCACTGCTATTCCAGTAGTAGTTCCACTCTACGCTAAATAGTTGCGCCACCTTATACATACGATTCAGACAGTTCTATCTCATTTAAGTGCTTTCGTACAAAGTGCATTTTCTAATATTGCTGCGGAGTGGCTAGTCTCGATATTATGCCCTATATCTTCACTCTATTGCTATGTGTACTGCTTCTGCCCTTGTACATCATTTTCGCCGGCTAGCCCATGCTGCTACTCCACCTCGACGCTTTTAGGGGTTTCTTCTTTACTCTACTTGCTCAGAGCTAGGGTACATGTCAATTTCCCCCAGATTAGTTCTACGGCCTTTTGCGTGATGTTCCTTCAATACTAGAATTAGGCTGTAAGACCTAGCAATATGACCGTATAATTATATACTGAAGTTATTTCCGTAGGCCTATCAATTTGCTCGTTCCATATCGCCGCAGCCGCTGACGCTATCCATAGCACTATAGCCGGTTTCCAAGAGCTTTCATCGACTGTATGAGCTGCTGCTGCCTCGTTTTTTTTTTAGCTTTTTGATGAAGATATTAAGGCTTCTAGACTACGCTTTTTAGATTAGTGATACTCAGCTTGCATGGTGAGGTGGGGTTGCGATAGTGCAGCACGGTCAAGCAGACAGGGTGAAGCATGAGCGAAATTAAACCAAACATCTGCAATCTGGTGTGAAGTAGTACTAATTCAGTCCAATACCACACCAAAATTCGGTAAAATTCCGACAAAAGCTATGATGCATACTACAGGCTAGACCATTACTGCGAAATGAATGATGTTTCAGACTGGGAAGTTTTGAATTTGGCGATAATTAACAAAACCCTACTCTATCCCAGTACAGCTATCTTCTAGTTTTCAGTTAGAAAAAAGTTAACACGTTGTCCTAAAATGCGTGCTACCTTTGCTGGGTGAATGTGCTCGTTCTTTTTTTTTATCATTTAGTTAGGCCAGTCATAGCAGTTAATTGCGGGTCACGTGGGTCGTATGAATTGTATACGGATGGCGTGGCTGTCTGATAGTCTAATAATATAATTTTTTGCTAAGTATTGGCTGGTGTATGGAAATTTATTGGTCATTCATAGGAGGGGCAACTGTTAAGGCTATATACTGCGTTACTCTAGAAGACTTTTCTACTCTAGTACTCTAAAAGAATATAAAAGAATATTTTTTCACATCTATATATGGACCGCATTATTGTTAAATATTATGAGTCATCTCTGGTATATAAAGGATCACATAATTTAATACGGAGTCGCGAGAGCAAAAATGACAAATCAATATAAGTCGCGACGACCTGAGCCAAAATAGGTATGCACCGTTTCCGCTCGCGTAGTTAAGTTTTGTAATAACTCTGAATTTCGAATATTAGTGAGCCAATGTGGGCTTGTATCTCTGTGAGGAGAATAATATATTAAGGCTTTAGTTCTGGCACGGAATTCTAAGCCCGTAGTCATATCTTCTCTGCTTTAGGCACAAACCTCAATTTATTCAACTACTTTCCGTGCTTGTCTAGGCCTTTTGGGACATAAAAGTACCCATGTTAATTATTTTTCATAGCCATAGGACAATCCGAACTTCAATTGACCAAACAAGATGACCATCAAACCCCTTTGTTTAAAATTTTTAACAGCATTGTGAAGTTAACTTGAAACTTTGATCATATAGTAAAAAAGTCCTGATAGTTTTTCTCCATTTATTCAATGGCATCGGCGCTTAGCCTCCTACCGGGCCTCCTACCAAGCCACCCGCAGAGACCGACCCAGCCAGAACTCTATATATTAGGTGGTAGCTTACCGGCAGTGGTAAGCCCCTAATACAATTTTATATTCTTGGCTGATACCTTTAAGCAATATTTGTACACTTTGGTCATGCCTTATTCCCAGTGAAGTGGTAATTAGAGTTGACCATACCATTTCCTACGGAAGTCAATTTCTTTTCTTCACCCCTCCTTTTCAGCTCACTAGAGCGTAACCGTAAAAAAGAACGGCCCCCACCTTTCCTAAGAGATATGTAGACCAAGATACTGCTAGATGTCTTCGATTCTACCACTTGTACGGCTTTTTATTACGCTCCTATACTGATTTTCGGCAATTACGGAAAGAGCACATCCATAGAGCAGATATTGAGAAGATACTTTTCTCAGCTACCTAAACGATTGAGCCTATGGCGATAGCAATAGTTTTGGTACAACCAAGCATTCCTGGAACCTAGATTGATCTAGATATTTGCTGCCTGGAGAAATAATTGAGGCCCTTTCAAGAGTTCCTTTGCGGGTACTGTAAGTTATGAGAGGTGGATGCGGCCTTACTTGTATTTAGCCGAAACGGTCACGTTTTACTAGATGTCGGTAGATAGCTTTTATGATCAAATTCCCGAGTAGCCTTAGGCAACCAATATATTCGTGCGGTCTTTCTTTACCCTGTCATAACTAGAAATCAATTAGCCGTGCCTTTGATTCGCCATCCAAGGCGAAAATTTCTAGTTAAAGGATTCAGACAAGTGGAGCTTTAAAACCATACTAACATTAAAAAGGTAGGAGGGGCACGCCTAGGTTAGCCATCGGAAATGTTATGCTTACTCTTGGAATTGCATTGTAAACTGATCTTGTTTACTGATGCTATTATAAAAGCACGAAGCTTACAAGGTGGGAGAGTAGAACCGAATGATCAAATAAAATGATGACGGATAGATTGCTTACGAAAGATATTGCCAAGTGAAATAGATTCTCGTCCTTTCATCCTACCACAGGCCATATTTTAGCCTGCTAATGTTCGAAGAGAAGTTGGAAAAGGAATGGTGCGCCGCGAGAAAGGCATAATTATGCTCCAGGCGTCGCAGGGCCCAGTTACAGCAACGGGCTTTTAAAAAATACCGAGAAGACCTAACCGTAGCCGATGAAGCATTAAGGAGTAGACCTAGAAAAAAATGGGAGGGGTGAATATTGCGAACAGGGATCCTAAGTGCGTTGACAGAAAATGACACTGTGATGAGGTTCCCACGGCATGCAAGATTCGTATTAATTTACGATGACGTGGTGAATTACGTCCTTCATTCTGTGATCAGTATTTAGCGCTAATAAACTAATTAGATTAGGGAAAAAGGCAATAAAACAAGAGCTAAGGAAGGCTCACGACACTGGGAGCAATACCATAGCCTGAAAATATTTAAAGTGCTTAGTTTGGTCATGAATAAACCCCGGTAAACCATAGCGTTCCCTTTGAGCCAAGTAACAGCTTATATGACGGCACTCATGGATAACAGTTGGCAGTCAGAGACTAGCCAAATAATTATCCACGGATTGCCCTAAAGCGAATGTCAAGAGCGGTGCGAAGAACCTAGGATGAACAGCCTGCGAACCTGGTCAACGAATTACCCGGTTGTTCAGAAAAGTCTTAGGGTATGCCCGGGAATTATTCAATCGTTCACTGCGAGGGGCCCCATTCGTATCTTAGACTATTTGCTAATTGGTGTAATTATGAAAGTCCTCCAGAAGATACAAGCATTCCCGAAACCACGGAAAAATTCGACATGACTAGGGAAAGCAATGGTACTATATCTTTCGCACCTTTCAAAGCTTGGTTGAGAAACGGCCTGAACAGTTTCCAATTAGCTTTGGTGTTGATCCGTAACGGCTTCTCAGAAGGATCTCAGTTTGCCGTCTGTTCTGACGAAATTTAGGGCAAAATGCGCCCACATGCGAGACTATATGTCTAGCATAATTTTTGCCCCATCCGGCTGACCAGTCAGCCAATGCTTAGGACCAAGCCCTACCTCCTAAGACTAGTGGAGCGCCCAACAGCTGATGGGCACGTATCTGGAAACTCGAAACCCGGTAGAGACCCCTCATCAACTTCGTAAGAAGCCAAACCAACTTCTCTACTGCCTGAAACCCCTCCAATGTCTGGAAGCCAAGTAGGTGGGGATAGACCCACCTTATGCATAACCAGCACGCGAATATGGGCCATATCTCTGTT